AAAAAAAATGAAACCATTTCCCACTGCTACCGGAACAAATATAGAATATTTTCGCGATATCTGCCTAATCTCAGCAATAATAATTCGCGCTACTAAGTAATCACATCGACTTCAGGCAGCCCGATATTTGAAACGTCTTTCCGTTAAATCCGTTTCCTGCTTGGCTACTAGCAGTTGGCAAGAGTCGAAACTGTTTTGCTGCACGATATAAGCGAAAAGGAAAATGAGGAAAACTGCTTCACATTTCCAGACACTATTTAATGACTGGCAAATGATTGGTGAGAGTGCCGAATGGAAAAATAACAAGACAAACAGCCGAGGAAGCGAGGTCTGGATTCCGAAGCGACTGCAGCACAACAGAGTATCCAGCTCCTCTAAACCAGCTGTAGATGCACGTAAGGAAGTATTAACTTCCCCTGCCTTTTATTCGCAATCGACGAGAAAAAAGCAGAAAAACTGATATTTTTTGTGAGAAAGCATTCGAAAGCGACAACTGCTGTGCTGCAAATTCTTGCAAAGGGGCTGGCGAAAAAATATGTGGGGATTGTTAAAAAAAACAAACAAGGACTGTCGGACAAATACGACATTTTCACTTCATTCTGCACAAGGACTGAAAGCTGCGTGAGCTGGAGCAGACGTTATGCACTAACAAGAACTGTACAGCTCCGGTTCGGAACAGCTAATATAGCTGCGTCCGGCGCATGGGATCATGCCGGTGACATAAATAACACGGGATACTCACATCAAATGCCTCTAACAGTGTTATTGTTCATAATATATTCATTGCTGTTACACAAATACAGTGAGAAAACAATAAACCTAAAGGACTAAGCGATCGATTTGGCAACGAAGACTTATCAGCAGCCGCACCGACTCCTGATTCTTCCTCAGCATCATCATCCTCGAAACCTGGCGGTAGCAAATCGGCTAGTTCGGTATCCGTGTCATCTGAACAACAAAACCCCAGCGTTAACATTATACTGTCATACGGGCAAATGATGCACAGAGACAGATCCACATTCCACTTATTATCGATTAGCAGAGTCTATTTACTAAGAAAATCAGTGATTTTTCAGATGAAAATCTGAAGTTACTCAGAAAGGCAATCGAAAATCTAAATGAAGTAAATCGAGAAGAGGCGAAATTCATACTCTTGCGACTCCCAGACAGCCAGAAATCGACCTTGTTTTCCAAAATAGGCTTTGAACCACCCCAAACTATCGGTGAAGAGTAATAATTCCTGAGAGGCAAACAAATAACCTGAGTGCTTCCTTGATCCCGAATAAAAAATTAAAAAACCGGTTCGTGCAAAATGGACTCCTGAGATCCAAGTTCTCAGAAAGTCTGTACATGAAGATTAAAACTAACCAAGCAATCCTGGCGATGATGCCGAGAAGCTTCCACACATCTGGTGCAACTATGCCAACCTCCTCGATCCTACACTGTGTACCTCAATTGAGGAGTCACTGCACGTGGCAAAGGTCATCGCCCGCAAAAAAACTGGATAATGCTGCTTCACCTTTCTTTTGAGTCGTTTAAAGAAAGAAGAATTTATCCGTTTTTATTTGTATTACTGTATTTACATAAAAATGTGTTTTTTTGGAAAAATTCGCAAAGAATATTTTACCAAACAGCGAAGCTTACCACAAAATGGAGACCTATCCGGGATGTGATCAATAAAAATTTGACAGGCTGGACCCAAAAAATTAATTAGCACGTAATCTTCGCCGATTTTGTATTTCTTGTACAGAATGTTAATGATCGGCTGCATCACAATTCGAAAGAGATACGCAGAGGCCTAAAAAGAGTTGAAAATTCGAAAAAGTCGAACCAAAAATCACCACTTAAATTCTACCAAAAATTTTTTGCCTTTGTTTATAAGAATGAACACTTAACCATGATTGACAAGCATAATTTGGATTCTCTTTCAAAGTACTCCTACAACTCATGCACGAACAAACGGGATTTTAGGGAAAAAATTTTTTGGTTCAAGAACTGGGCAAAGACAGAAAACTGAAATTTTAGAATATTCCTGCTCAGTGCGCCCCGAGAAAAATAGAAAACAAACTTACGCCTATATCCCAAATACGGACACATTTTGTGTACTCAGAGTAATTTTCTGCCTCCTGCACTTCCCGACCTCATATTTCACTATCGCCTAGACCAAACGGGGACCAGCGGCGCCAAAATCCATGAGCAAGCGATGAAATATTCACTGGCAGAGCAGTATCAGTACACTGTCGGTGGCTCTTAACACGGACAGTTTTTCCTAATCGCTTCAC